GGACACGCGTCATTGCAGCTTCGCGGAACAGCTCGTATTGTCCCCGTTCGCCGAGATAATTCGCGCTAGATAAGATCTGCGAATGATAGCGACGAGATAGGGATTAATTGGCAGGGAGGTTGTCGCAAAATTGGAAATCGGGAAAATCGGAGAAACGTCTGGGAAATCCAGGGAGGCCGAGGTTTTGTGGAACGTTAAAATTGTTGACTTCGAAGAAGTTTAATAATCATACCTACGCCATTTTGAAATACTACCACCGACCGAACGATTGAAAAGCAGCGCCAGCTAACATTAATTAAGTTGTTACGTCAAGTTAATTTTTCAGCAAAATATTTCACGGTTTCTAAATCAGAACGGAAATGTAAAAAGATTTCGAGACATTGAAAGTCGGGAAAAATCATGAGATCTCGTCCGGAAATCAGGGGAAAGTTTGCAGAATTTAAGATGAGAAATTTGTGACAATCCTGTTGACACTATAGAAGGACCGTAAGAAATGTCAGGGTTTCGCATCTTCTTTAATTAAATAAAAATTCATTTTACATAATCGACAAATTTTTTTTTTTTTTTTTTACTAAAATTAAGAACATAAAAAAACGACGAAAGGTCACGAAAGGGTATATATCGCGTGGGAGCAAAATTGAAAGGAGTTCGTATCAGTTTGAATTTCGCGAGGGGGGCCTAAAATTGACTGCCTCGGTCCTTCCGAGCGTTAATAGGATTCGCAGCGATCGCGTTAATTTACGCGATATATTATGAGACGCACCGGCGGTGTTGCACGCGCGGTTACCGTTCGTGCGCGATGTTTACTACCCGTAGCGAAACGCGCTTGTAACCGTTTAATCGAACGACGCGCGAGCTTAACTCGCTCGTCTCCCGAACGATGAGAGACGAAAGAGAGTTCTCTTTCCGCGCCTCTTCCAAAATCTCGGTCTCCTCCGAGCGGACTACACGTACGTTCCCGGGAATGGACGGGGAGACGTTCCGCAATGCGTGTCAAGGAAAAACGACAGTTATCCTTCCACACGCCGACGCGCGCGCGCGCGCGCGCGCGTTACAAATAGCTCGTGGGGAACCGCCGGGCCGCGACCTGGAGCGGCAGACACGCCGCTCCGCACGCACCGTCGTCAGACTCGGCCGAGCAGGGAGACAAAGAACAACAGCCGCGCACCGGCGGCGATCCCCTAAATCGGCATGTCCGTTGAGCCTCATGAATCTCCGCCGTGGCTCCTCTCCTTCGCGAGGAGAAGGAGGAAAAGGCACACCGGTGTGTCCTGTGCACGGTTCGGCACGCAGAGCAAACAGGCGGCGCGCGATGGCGAC